CATACCAGGGACTCTTAACTACATCTTGTGTCCAAGGGATAAAGACTAAACATTTTATCCTCTTAAGGATCAGAGGATAACGGCATTGTCCGCTCGGGCTCGGGTCTTCCAGCCCGCTTAGTTATGGCCATATTTATCAACTTCCAAGATTTTCAGATTTTTTGTATATGGTGCGGCGTGAAGACCTGGGGCCAGATTCACGAAAGCACTTACGCAAGCACTTACGAACGTGTACATCTTTCCTCAATCTTTGACGACTTTGGTTACATTTATTAAACAGTTTACAAGCATGAAAACTTCCCAATCAACTGTTGTTATTGTTATAAACAGCCTCCTGGTGCTTCGGAGCTCATTGACTGTTTAATAATTGTAAACAAAGCCGCCAAAGATTGAGAAAAGATGTACAGGTTCGTAAGTGCTTGCGTAAGTGCTTTCGTGAATCTGGTCCCTGGTTGTGATGTCGCCAGATAATTTCCCAGTCCGTCAGTGGGCGTGGTTATGATATTACATTGGTGGGCGTGACGTGGGCGTGTAAGACGAGCTTTGACCTTTAATAGCAGGCTTAGGCCTGTCTCTCCCTCCCCACAGCTGACCCTAGGACTGGTTTCTCTGGAGCACGACCCACCAGTGGGTCGTGCCCTAACCAGGTGCCCTAAGACCCTAGACCAATTTTGTGGGTAAGGCGGACGGACTGACTACACCACATTATGTGGGCGTGATGTGTCGTCCCGCATGTCAGTGTCTTGGGTGTGGTGTGGGCGGGGAGTGTACGGGTGTGGGCGGGGAGTGTACGGGTGTGGGCGGGGAGTGTACGGGTGTGGCTGGTACACGGTATTTTACCAGTCTGGGGGCCAGTTGAGGTAGGCGAGGCCATGTCATAACTCAAGGGTAAAGATCTTAATAGTGTCCAAGAGAACCCTAAGAGCAGGTGAAGTTGTTAACAAGATGGTGTTGTGGGGGTCAGGTGACATGTTTCATAACAGTATTGTTGACATGTCGCCACTCTTAGTGTCCAGTGAAGGGGCTCCACTCTGGCCGGCTGACAAGGTCAGCTCTCTGATCAGTCAGTTTGTTGTTGATTTCAGCTCTGAGCTGGACATCGGGCCTCGCTAGAGTGGTATCGAGATATAATGTGGGCGTGAGGTCGTGGGAGAGGGCTGGGAGGGGTGTGGTGGGAGAGGGCTGGGAGGGGTGTTGTGGGAGAGGGCTGGGAGGGGTGTGGTGGGAGAGGGCTGGGAGGGGTGTGGTGGGAGAGGGCTGGGAGGGGTGTGGTGGGAGAGGGCTGGGAGGGGTGTGGTGGGAGAGGGCTGGGAGGGGTGTGGTGGGAGAGGGCTGGGAGGGGTGTGATGGGAGAGGGCTGGGAGGGGTGTGGTGGGAGAGGGCTGGGAGGGGTGTCGTGGGAGAGGGCTGGGAGGGGTGTGGTGGGAGAGGGCTGGGAGGGGTGTGGTGGGAGAGGGCTGGGAGGGGTGTGGTGGGAGAGGGCTGGGAGGGGTGTGGTGGGAGAGGGCTGGGAGGGGTGTGGTGGGAGAGGGCTGGGAGGGTGAGGGCGAGCCTCAGGCGGCCGTGAAGCAGCAGTAAGCCCCACAGGATGGCGTCTCCAGCACACGCCATGATGTCTCTACACTTGTGTACTGATAACACTGGAGGCCAGAGTGCCCCTGGCGGCGGGCTGTCTGCTCCTCCCGTCATTCTTGCACTCACTACTACCAACATGACGTCACGTCTCAACTGTTTTTTTCCCTCCCTCTTCCCTCCCATCTCCTTCCCCTTCCTTTCCCACCTCCCTCTTCTCGTAATTATTCGTCCACGCTAAGAGCCTTGTTATATTTTTGCCCCGAGGGGCGAGTTTATTAGGCAGCGCCACTCATCCTGTGAGTGGACACACCGCCATAGCAGCATGTACAACACTCTCCAATAGGAAGAAAACCCGCTGGGTTGTTCATCCCGTCACTTGTACCCAGACACAGCTGGGACTAACTGCTTCAAATGAACAGCTTTTCAAGCAAGAATATTAATATTGTCAACCACTAAAATCTTGCGTTATCTTGCGGGTGCAAAAATGGATAAATCTCTCAACAGTATTTGACAAAAAGTTTTCCTAACTCAAACCAATGTGGGATTTATTATGCTATACATGTCTAATGACTGATGTCTACACATTGGTAGTGGGTCAAGGCGGTGTCCATCATACCAGATTTTGCAACTCTTCTGCTCAAACGTTTCCATTCTGAATCTCTGGATATTTGTATCCAAGACGGATTCTTGTTATTACTAATTCTCTCCTGCGGATATCTCTTCGTCCATATTGATTGGGATTGCCAGCTGCAACCATGTTGTACCATCGTACAGATTCACCGATTTGTACTTCTATCCTTTCCTTAATTACCTTGACGCGGTGATATTGCCTGATACCTGTAATTTGTAAGTGTCTTGGGTATGACGTATTCAATATGGTCTTCAGCAGCCGAGCATTCATCTGCTCGTTAATTTCCATAGATTCCAACATGGGATGGGATCCACAAATTAGACTACTTCCGATTGGTTAATATTCTCACAGGTCTTTATTTCAGCGACTTGTCAAAGATTTTCTGCCTGATTTCCACCAAGGCTTTATAGCACTTTAATCTGTGCAGAGCGCTGCACTATTAGCGTTTCGTTCAAGACATCAACGCTACAATGGCAGTTAACCGCTTGCGTTTAAGAGGCAGTTCAATACGTGCATTTTCTTCCTTTTCGCGTTGAAAGGCATTATTCCTAATTACAGTATGCCGCACCAGCCCTGTCATTGACAGGATTAGACGACCCATCAGTGCATATTTGATCCAATTCATTTACGGCTTGATTTATAGTGTACCATTTTGAGCACGGCAATAGAGGCTCCATGTCCATTCCAGGTCATAGCTTTCAGTGCCCTGAGTCGACTTTTGCATGTTCCTATGAGTTGATTGAGCTCCTCTTTCTTTCCCTTGTTAGAGCCGACAGTGACGCCAAGGTACCGGTAGTGGTCAACCCATTCAAGTGTTTCTTCAAGATGTGCCGGACCAACCAGATTGTAAAGGATACGTGGGCCTGCGGGCCGCGCCAAGCAACAGCCTGTTGGACCAAGCTCTCACAGATGAAACCTGGCCCCGGGCCGAGCTTGGGGAAGAAATAGTAGTGCCGGAACCCCGTCAAGGTACAAGGGACATAATACTGACGTTTCTGGAACCCGCAAGACTATTTCCCGTGTACATAGGCATCCACGCCAGATACCGGGCAGTTGTGCCTCTGTTCTGCCTCATTTCCTCAAAATAAGTAGTTTATGGTTGGTTGAATTCTGGTACCCGCCCGCACTTCCTGACGTTCCAGGCGCTGCCTTATGGTCACTACATCATCTGCACTGCTCTATCTCTAGTTTCTTACTCTGTGCTAAACTCTATGGTAAACTCTTTGGGAGCCGGTCGGCCGAGCGGACAGCACACTGGACTTGTGATCCTGTGGTCCTGGGTTCGATCCCAGGCGCTGGCGAGAAACAATGGGCAGAGTTTCTTTCACCCTATGCCCCTGTTACCTAGCAGTAAAATAGGTACCTGGGTGTTAGTCAGCTGTCACGGGCTGCTTCCTGGGGGTGGAGGCCTGGTCGAGGACCGGGCCGCGGGGACACTAAAGCCCCGAAATCATCTCAAGATAACCTCAAGATATGGTGTGTAAATGTCTACAATCCTGCACTTAAATGCAAGTTTTTCAGCGTCATATCAAGTGTCATTCCCTGATGTTCCTACATGACTTGGCACCCAGTATTCAACGACTGTTGAATACTTCAACGACACTTGTACTGTGTTGATGGTGGCCGGAGTGGTGACCGAGACTGTGAGGTAACAACACTAAAGCCTTCACAGTGAGAAGAGTACTCATCTAGTTGTACTCACCTAGTTGTACATGTGGGGGTTAAACTCTGGCTCTTAGGTCCAGCCTCTCAACCGTCAATCAACCGGTGCACAGATTACTGAACCTACTGGGCTCTTATCATATCCATATTTGAAACTGAATGGAGTCAGCCTCCACCACATCACTGCCCCAGGAGTGTGTAGCATGGAGAGTGTGTACCCAGAGACCTGGGGAGTGTTGAGGCTTCAGGTAGAGCAGGTGTACACCCCTCTCCTTCACCCCCACACCTCTCTACCCCTCTCTCTCTCTCTCTCTCTCTCTCTCTCTCTCTCTCTCTCTCTCTCTCTCTCTCTCTCTCTCTCTCTCTCTCTCTCTCTCTCTCTCTCTCTCTCTCTCTCTCTCTCTCTCTCCTCCCCCCTTCCTCCGTCCCTCCCCCCCCCGTCCTTCTTTCCTCCATAGGGGGAACCCAACGGTGCGAGTTTAGGAAGATGGAAAAACAGATTTCATTCGTACCATCTTTTTCCCCCCCTCCATCTCCCTCCGTCTCCCTCCCTCCCTCCCTCACACTTGTCCCACAAACACCTCAGTTACTAGTCAGTATTTGGAGTGCCTCAGTGCCGTGCAGTGTCAGAACAGTGTCGGTGCCACTCCAAAAGTCTTCACGACAAATTAAAAAAGTTTTTTGTTGGAGGGGAAGAGGGGGGGGGGGGTTGTTAACGAGAATAAGTGGTAGTGTGCGGTTGACTTTTGTTGGGTGAGTGTTGATGCCACCAGACACTGTACAGGCACCTGACACCTTACAGTGGCACCTGTGTACAGTGACTGGACGCGGGTTGGAGGAGCAGCACCAAGCTGGTGACGCCTCGCATGACTACATCCGTTGAGCAACACCTGGCGTCACGCCGGCACTTGTCGCGTCACGCAGGTGACTGGTCGTGTGACGCAGGTGACTGGTTGTGTGACGCGTGACATGTCCCCTGCTTGGCGAACAGAGGCATTAGGTGTTACAAGTCAAGCCTGGCCCCGGGCCGGGCTTGGGCAGTAGAACAACTCCCAGAACACCATCGGAGCCAACTCTCGCTCCGATGGTGAAGTCTTATTATTGTCAGTGGTCGTGTGCAGTCAGTGTTCGTCCTATGGTCGTGAACTGTTCAGTAGTCATCCAGTAGTCCTGAACTAGTCAGTGATCGTGAATTACTAGTCGTACAAGATGACCAGTTACACGGAAGTGGCTGTCGGGAAAACATTAGGATTGGCAAATAATGGAAAATTTACATATACAGGAATATTTTTTATCTTAAGTTTTACTCTTATCTGAACTAGTGAATCCAAGACCTAAAAAGTCTTAATCTTGTTTAAACTATTTAGAAGCTTTATAAGCCTTAAATATGACTCCAATGAGAGTCACAGCTTCCTAAATCTGAGCTAAAAACTTAATTCCTGGAACAAATTTACATAATTGTTTAAATCTGAACATGAACGAGGTCTGAAACCAAATAAGGTCCAAGTGAAGTAGTGTAAAGCTTTTTTACAACGCCAAAATCTCAGAAATTTTGATACAAGATTGAATTGAAAAGTCATTTTTGCTCAAGCCTTATCATGCGCATTAAACTTAATTAAGTCTGCAAAGTTTGAAAGCTTCAGTCCTTTATGTATCAGAGATGGGCATCGCACACACCACAGAAGTAAGTTTAAATGTATTCCACGTTAGTTAACTGAATTAATATGATATAACAATATTTATATGTAGATTGCATTTATACAGTATCTATATTTATAGAGATTGTAGCAGACTAGAGTGTTCTTGACATTACAAAAATACTAAATTACTATAATATAGGTTTGTAAATTATATTGAAGCTAATATTATTTCCAGTTTTTAAATCTGGAAGGGAAAATAATTTGGATCATGATAAGTATTTTAAACCACAAAAATATTTATAAATGTATGGAATATGAGGTTTCTGGGGCATATCTAAGTGTTAGCAGTGAGCTGCTGGGTGGAAGACACAAAGGTGTACCCAGTTATTGATGTATTCCCTGTTGGTTGATGTATTACCTGTTGGTTGGTGTATTACCTGTTGGTTGATGTATTACCTGTTGGTTGATGTATTACCTGTTGGTTGATGTATTACCTGTTGGTTGATGTATTACCTGTTGGTTGGTGTATTACCTGTTGGTTGATGTATTACCTGTTGGTTGATGTATTACCTGTTGGTTGGTGTATTACCTGTTGGTAATACATCAACCACAGCACTGTGGTGTGGGCGTCAGCACTGTGGTGTGGGCGTCAGCACTGTGGTGTGGGCGTCAGCACTGTGGTGTGGGCGTCAGCACTGTGGTGTGGGCGTCAGCACCGTGGTGTGGGCGTCAGCACTGTGGTGTGGGCGTCAGCACTGTGGTGTGGGCGTCAGCACTGTGGTGTGGGCGTCAGCACTGTGGTGTGGGCGTCAGCACTGTGGTGTGGGCGTCAGCACTGTGGTGTGGGCGTCAGCACCGTGGTGTGGGCGTCAGCACAGTGGTGTGGGCGTCAGCACCGTGGTGTGGGCGTCAGCACCGTGGTGTGGGCGTCAGCACTGTGGTGTGGGCGTCAGCACTGTGGTGTGGGCGTCAGCACCGTGGTGTGGGCGTCAGCACTGTGGTGTGGGCGTCAGCACCGTGGTGTGGGCGTCAGCACTGTGGTGTGGGCGTCAGCACCGTGGTGTGGGCGTCAGCACCGTGGTGTGGGCGTCAGCACTGTGGTGTGGGCGTCAGCACTGTGGTGTGGGCGTCAGCACCGTGGTGTGGGCGTCAGCACTGTGGTGTGGGCGTCAGCACTGTGGTGTGGGCGTCAGCACCGTGGTGTGGGCGTCAGCACCGTGGTGTGGGCGTCAGCACTGTGGTGTGGGCGTCAGCACTGTGGTGTGGGCGTCAGCACTGTGGTGTGGGCGTCAGCACTGTGGTGTGGGCGTCAGCACTGTGGTGTGGGCGTCAGCACCGTGGTGTGGGCGTCAGCACTGTGGTGTGGGCGTCAGCACTGTGGTGTGGGCGTCAGCACTGTGGTGTGGGCGTCAGCACTGTGGTGTGGGCGTCAGCACCGTGGTGTGGGCGTCAGCACTGTGGTGTGGGCGTCAGCACCGTGGTGTGGGCGTCAGCACTGTGGTGTGGGCGTCAGCACTGTGGTGTGGGCGTCAGCACTGTGGTGTGGGCGTCAGCACCGTGGTGTGGGCGTCAGCACTGTGGTGTGGGCGTCAGCACCGTGGTGTGGGCGTCAGCACTGTGGTGTGGGCGTCAGCACCGTGGTGTGGGCGTCAGCACTGTGGTGTGGGCGTCAGCACCGTGGTGTGGGCGTCAGCACCGTGGTGTGGGCGTCAGCACTGTGGTGTGGGCGTCAGCACTGTGGTGTGGGCGTGTGGGTGTGGGCGTCAGCACCGTGGTGTGGGCGTCAGCACTGTGGTGTGGGCGTCAGCACTGTGGTGTGTGGGCGTCAGCACTGTGGTGTGGGCGTCAGCACTGTGGTGTGGGCGTCAGCACCGTGGTGTGGGCGTCAGCACCGTGGTGTGGGCGTCAGCACTGTGGTGTGGGCGTCAGCACTGTGGTGTGGGCGTCAGCACTGTGGTGTGGGCGTCAGCACCGTGGTGTGGGCGTCAGCACTGTGGTGTGGGCGTCAGCACTGTGGTGTGGGCGTCAGCAGCACCGTGGTGTGGGCGTCAGCACCGTGGTGTGGGCGTGGTGTGGGCGTCAGCACCGTGGTGTGGGCGTCAGCACCGTGGTGTGGGCGTCAGCACCGTGGTGTGGGCGTCAGCACCGTGGTGTGGGCGTCAGCACCGTGGTGTGGGCGTCAGCACTGTGGTGTGGGCGTCAGCACTGTGGTGTGTGGGCGTCAGCACCGTGGTGTGGGCGTCAGCACCGTGGTGTGGGCGTGGTGTGGGCGTCAGCACTGTGGTGTGGGCGTCAGCACTGTGGTGTGGTGTGGGCGTCAGCACCGTGGTGTGGGCGTCAGCACTGTGGTGTGGGCGTCAGCACTGTGGTGTGGGCGTCAGCACTGTGGTGTGGGCGTCAGCACCGTGGTGTGGGCGTCAGCACTGTGGTGTGGGCGTCAGCACCGTGGTGTGGGCGTCAGCACCGTGGTGTGGGCGTCAGCACTGTGGTGTGGGCGTCAGCACTGTGGTGTGGGCGTCAGCACTGTGGTGTGGGCGTCAGCACTGTGGTGTGGGCGTCAGCACCGTGGTGTGGGCGTCAGCACTGTGGTGTGGGCGTCAGCACTGTGGTGTGGGCGTCAGCACCGTGGTGTGGGCGTCAGCACCGTGGTGTGGGCGTCAGCACCGTGGTGTGGGCGTCAGCACTGTGGTGTGGGCGTCAGCACCGTGGTGTGGGCGTCAGCACCGTGGTGTGGGCGTTATGGAACTAAGGTTTGGTTGACTTCCTCCTGGATAGTGTCTGGCCGCGGCTTTACTTTCGATGGTGATAATGTACAGGTACACCCTCCCGTCTACACCCTCCCGTCTACACCCTCCCGTCTACACCCTCCCGTCTACACCCTCCCGTCTACACCCTCCCGTCTACACCCTCCCGTCTACACCCTCCCGTCTACACCCTCCCGTCTACACCCTCCCGTCTACACCCTCCATTCCCTTGGTCGTTTTTGTCATGTCTTGGAGAATGTTATGAGGTGTACCCCCGCCCTGGTGAAGACCGCCCCTCACCCCGCCTGCTCAGCCTCCAGAATTATCTCTGCGTATCCTGACCAGGTATTTGAAGGCTTCTGTAATGAGTTGATTAACTTTGTTGTGTTTGTAATGCACCTTTGGTTTGCCTCAAAAGGTTCGACCAGCGGTAATTACAGAGTTCCTGTGACCTTATCGAGACGCCGGAACAAATTGTCTTGTTTGTTTTCAGAGGTCAAGGATAATTTTCCCTGCTTATTGTTTGTCTTAACAAGAGTTGTGGGGGAGTAGTGTCTCTCTCTCCGTCTGTCTGTCTGTCTGTCTGTCTGTCTGTCTGTCTGTCTGTCTGTCTGTCTGTCTGTCTGTGTCTGTCTGTGTCTGTCTGTCTGTCTGTCTGTCTGTCTGTCTGTCTCTCTTTCTCTCTCTCTCTCTCTCTCTCTCTCTCTCTCTCTCTCTCTCTCTCTCTCTCTCTCTCTCTCTCTCTCTCTCTCTCTCTCTCTCTCTCTCTCTCTCGTTCTTTCTTTCTCTTTCTCAAAATAGTGTATCCCCCTATTTGTAACCTTAAATTTCGAAATTGACTTAGATTTACATTGATAACTTTCCATCAATAAATGACAGGAGAGTCAGAGCGTGTGTTAAGTGCCGCCTGCCTTGCAGGTGTTCCAGGTCTTGTTACAGGTGTTCCAGGTCTTGTTACAGGTGTTCCAGGTCTTGTTACAGGTGTTCCAGGTCTTGTTACAGGTGTTCCAGGTCTTGTTACAGGTGTTCCAGGTCTTGTTACAGGTGTTCCAGGTCTTGTTACAGGTGTTCCAGGTCTTGTTACAGGTGTTCCAGGTCTTGTTACAGGTGTTCCAGGTCTTGTTACAGGTGTTCCAGGTCTTGTTACAGGTGTTCCAGGTCTTGTTACAGGTGTTCCAGGTCTTGTTACAGGTGTTCCAGGTCTTGTTACAGGTGTTCCAGGTCTTGTTACAGGTGTTCCAGGTCTTGTTACAGGTGTTCCAGGTCTTGTTACAGGTGTTTCAGGTCTTGTTACAGGTGTTCCAGGTTTTTTATTTACACCATATCAGGTTGGGCCCACGAGTTAGTGTGTACACGTGTTCCTGTATACTTAGTTGTCCTTGCTGGGGTTTGAGCCTATTGGGCTCTGTTATATGTACATTTGAAACCGTGTATGGGGTCTGCCTCCTCCACGTCACTTCCTAATGGGTGGGCCAGCAGGTGTCGGGCTTGTCGCCCTCCCTACTGCTGACTGTCTCTGCTCCTGCTGTGACTGTCTCTGCTCCTGCTGTGACTGTCTCTGCTCCTGCTGTGACTGTCTCTGCTCCTGCTGTGACTGTCTCTGCTCCTGCTGTGACTGTCTCTGCTCCTGCTGTGACTGTCTCTGCTCCTGCTGTGACTGTCTCTGCTCCTGCTGTGACTGTCTCTGCTCCTGCTGTGACTGTCACTGCTCCTGCTGTGACTGTCTCTGCTCCTGCTGTGACTGTCACTGCTTCTGCTGTGACTGTCTCTGCTCCTGCTGTGACTCACTGCTCCTGCTGTGACTGTCTCTGCTCCTGCTGTGACTGTCTCTGCTCCTGCTGTGACTGTCTCTGCTCCTGCTGTGACTGTCTCTGCTCCTGCTGTGACTGTCACTGCTCCTGCTGTGACTGTCTCTGCTCCTGCTGTGACTGTCACTGCTCCTGCTGTGACTGTCACTGCTCCTGCTGTGACTGTCTCTGCTCCTGCTGTGACTGTCTCTGCTCCTGCTGTGACTGTCTCTGCTCCTGCTGTGACTGTCACTGCTCCTGCTGTGACTGTCTCTGCTCCTGCTGTGACTGTCTCTGCTCCTGCTGTGACTATCTCTGCTCCTGCTGTGACTGTCTCTGCTCCTGCTGTGACTGTCACTGCTCCTGCTGTGACTGTCTCTGCTCCTGCTGTGACTGTCTCTGCTCCTGCTGTGACTGTCTCTGCTCCTGCTGTGACTGTCTCTGCTCCTGCTGTGACTGTCTCTGCTCCTGCTGTGACTGTCTCTGCTCCTGCTGTGACTGTCTCTGCTCCTG